ATGACGTTTTGTTCTCTATTTGTTTGTTGCTTGTGATTTCAACTATGTTCTTTGCAATTGGGAGTTTAGTTTGCTTTGTGTTCTTCAATACACATTTACTCTCGCATTTCATGACATTTTTTTCCTGTATCTTAATTTTGATAAATTAAAACCATGAAAATATTCTACTTTTGCTTCTTAATGATCAAAAGATTTACATGTACTGTGCTGTCTAGCAGTTTGTCCTACATATATCAGTCAAGACTGTGTTAAGTTCTCAGGTAAGTATTTGATCTTATTTTGAAAATTTTGTATTTACATAACTATCTCCAAGTCTTATATATTTCTCAGGTGAAAAATTGCTTTCTTTGTGCACTATTTCAGGTTATCCAGAGAAGATCCAGTTCAAAGATTCATTGCAAAAAAAGCACATGCTCATGATATTACAAAGGTTAATAAAAAACAACATTAAGTAGTAGAACTTCTACTACATATGTTATACTTATAACTGGTAATTGACATTATACATTTATTTATTTATTACGATTCAAAAAGAGTTTCAAAATAGTTTTAGTTTTATGCTCAATACTTTCAGTATTCTACTTTCAGATGCTAAAATATTGCTTGGGACTCATTCTTTGTTATAAGTTGGAAAGCTCGGCAATTGAGTCATTCTCTTTGATGCTCTGGATCTGAATTGTCAAGTATCTCAACATTGTCAAGTTTTCTCAGCAAGTTCTACTTCTGATACTCTTTCTTTATTTTTGTTCATCTTGATTAGTGTTTTTTTTTGTGAAATCCTTGCAGTTAGCACCTAAATAAGTCATGAACAGAGCAAAAGAAAAAGTTGTACAATGAATAAATTAAGCGTGTTTAAGTTTTTTATAACATTTGAAAGTGTCATACCCAAGTAAGAATCAAACAAACTGAACTGAACCTAACCGAACCGCACTGAACCGACATGGAGCAGTTCGGTTCGGTTCTGAATAACATGCGGTTCGGTTAGTCAAATTTTGACCAAATATCGAACCGATCGACCGTTTGCTCACCCCTACTTGGACCTACTTATCTAAGAAATAGACTAATTTGATTCATAATAAAGTTACAAACTAGATGTTACTTAACAAGGGGAGAAGAGGTCTAAGGAGAATAATTAAATTAACTCCTTATGAGGAGTTAAAAAAAACAATTTAATTTCTTTTGGATTGTCGATCAAGATGAAGGGTCAAGCATTTTTTGTGATTGGCAAATAAAGAATGGATAAGGAGGCTACTTGTTTAATATATACCAAATTAATTATTATAATAGTTTCCCCCTTAAATTTTCATTCCATGACTCCAAGGAGAATAAATCTTTACCTCCTTCCTCATATGGATTTGTTTACCCTTTTGGATGAGAGGTTAACTAACTTTAGCTCTCGTAAAAAGTTTATTAGTTCTTTGACCAAGTTAATCTGTATGGAGGATTAAGTAAAGATTAAACTCCCTTAAACTTTCTCTTAACCCTTGCCAAGCGGATAAAAAAAGATCCGTATCGGATCAAGATATTTATGAGAGAATGAGTCATACTAACAAAAAATTTAGAAAAGGCAGAGAAAAATGTCAAGTAATGGAAAAAGGAGAAGGCGTTTTATGGAAATAATAAAAGTTGTTAGTTCAGGCAATAGCGTAGAGGGATGTATATGCACCTGGATAATAACGCAAGAGGTCTATTTGCACCAATAGAACTGTCTGTCAACGATTGTGTGATAGTATAGTGGGTCTATCCACGACTAACCCTACAGATAGAAGTTGTTCCTTATGGGCCCATTTGGCAAAGGGTTAAGGATGAGAGATTAAAGAGAAGGGTTAACTTAGTTAATCCATTGTGAACGATTAAAAAATTCTAAACCCGTTTGGATACGATAGTTAAGATAAGGGGTTAAGTCTTTTGTGTTTGGCAAATGAAGAGGGATTAAGGAGATTAATCTCATTATTATTATTTTTAAAATACAACTTTCACCTCTATTGAAGATTTATAAATAATTACCTCATCAAAAACGAAAAAATTAGACATTTCTCATGTATACTAAGAACCCTATTATTTTTACAAGCTGCAAACAAATCAATATTTAGGACTGAAATAAAATATTAACATGAGCTAAAAAAAGTTCGTACTGAGCATATATAACCACGACCACAACCTAGCTAACATCAGCCAGACAAAAGTTTCATCTCACTGAAGTTGCAAAAGAACTAAAATCACCTAAAATTCATTGAAGTAAGAAAATGTTGCAAGAAGGGATGTTTGAAAAAAGAAATGGTCAACTTGCTGTAGGGAGGCATACCCAGCCAAAGGAGGAAACAAAGTGAACTAACAAAATAATTTAAATGCAGGGGAAAATATAGATAACACAAATACAATTATTTTCCTCTTACACAGAAAAGAATTCAAATCAACATAGAAAGAAATTTGCTTCCACATTTATAGGTGAAGCCTCCATAACCATTTAAGTGAGATTGAATGAAATGTTACTAATAGTTGTGTGCCCTTCTAGTAATATTTTCAACAATGTAACCCCAACATTTTGGATTCAATACTAGTAAATTCCATAGCTACGAGCCAACTAATTCAACATTAACTTGTGCTATTGCAAAATTAGATTTTTTTAATATGATTCACAAAATTCCCAATAACAAGCAAGTGATTATTATGACTAAGTAAATTACTTCCCAATTTCAAGTAATATTTTCCTCAATTACTCACAACAATTAGCAACCAATTATTATGAATAACAGACAATCTCAATGTACCAATCGACGATAATAGTAGCAATTGAGATTAAATTGGATAGATTTTTTTTTACCATAACTGAGGTGAAGCCTTCTTCATTCTCTCCTAAATGGGGACCGAGACGGCGAATGCACCACTGGGCAAGGTCTGGAGATGAACTGGCACGGTAAGGGACCCCACAATGTGCATAGAATTGGCGACCTTGGCATGAAACGGGATCTCATTAGGTCGAGGAAATCGGAGGTTGAGGACTTAGGTTTCAGTAGAGAAAGAGGAAAATCGAAGGAGTGACCATTTTTGGGGATTTGAGGAGGAAAGAAGTCTTGAGATGAAAAAATTCCGCCGCCTACCCTCGCGTGAGAAGGCGGAACAAGCCTTGTTCTACCTTCTTACGTGAAATAGTTGTCCCTTTTTATGACAGGTTAAATGGGCTAACCGGCTCATGTGCGGTTTGTTAACCCTTCCCCTTTTTTATGTTTGGCAGACTAATGGAAGGTCAAACCCACTTAACCCTCATTTATCCTCTTACCAAACGCAGCCTATATAGCTTCCTGTTGATCCCCGTTAGCCAGTGATAGTTAGCTTTGTAAAATTTGTCAAGAAAACCAACATCCATTGCATTTGCATGCAAATACTATGACCACTAGCTTGTGAACTTTTCGTTCCAGCGCCTAGTGAGGGGCTCACCGACAAAACGAGGAGTCTAAATCATGAGAGATTTCAGACTCGATTGTGCGTCAATGCGCCGGCGCCCCCGGTGCTACCAAGAAGAGTCGGAGCCATGCGCGGGGCCCTTGATAACCTCTCCTTTCTTGTTAACGCATATGCCGATAATTACATTTAAACTGCGCAGCGCAATCTCCGATCTCTACATCAAAATAGACGGTTGTTAAGTTTGAAATAAAAACTGGAGGAAATACTGAGACATTTGTTGATATAGCTAGTACCTGTTACGTACACCTACCCTCAGGCTAGGACCGGGCCCCCTCCACTTGAACTCGAACACTTAGCCATAGTGCCGTAGAGCAACTGTAGCGTATACTGCTCCCCAGCACCTTGCTCGAGCTACTGCATCCGAATATATCGTGTTTTTTTTTTATAGCTGGTTTAGATGTGTAGCATGTTTTATGTATTTAGGTAGCTTTTATCGGTTTCGACATCTGATGCATTCAAACCCGATTGATATGAGCGTAAATTTTCCTTGGGGAATCATATACTTAATTATGAGTATGGATTAAACGTGTGATAAATCTAGTCTCTCTCTCTCTCTCTCTCTCCTTTCTATTAATAATTAATAAAAGCAAAAGAAGCCATATTACCCGGAGGTGCTGAGCTGTAAATGTAGGGACCATCTTAAACACGGCGGTTTTCTTTGAGCCCTGACCTGAGGAAAAGTTGTTCCACTCGTCAGCAAGCATGAGCTCCATCCCCGAGGCGTAAGCCACGTACGTGCCCCCCACACGCCTCCACGTCACCACCTCCTTTCCGGGCCCCGCCCCTCGCCGCTCCACTCCTCGAACTCACTGTTCGAATTTAGCCTCGAAACCGTTGCGTTTTAGTGTTAATCTGCGGCCGTCACTTGTCACCGACGCTCGGGTTCCACTCTGCAAAAGATCAGGAGATGGAGGGGCTCAGCATGGCAACGTCTAATAAGGGCTCTTTTTGCGAAGAAACGGCAATTGAGGGTGTTTTCTGCAAAGATGCTGGCCCAGAAGGCTCCGACGTCAGCGCCACTTCACTCTCCGGCTCAACCTCCTCATCCTCCTCCTCGGGACCCGTCACTGAAACATCTAAAGTCGAGGGCGTTTTCTGCAATGACCTACCCTTAAAAGATCCGACCCAAGACTCCAACGGCATTTCGAATTCTGCTCCTCCTCCTCCATCGCCGGCCTCAACCGAACCCGATCCTGACGCGGATCGCGGCGATATTTTCAGCCGGAGTCAGTTCCGCGTCATCGGGAGGAGGGAGCGCAGATGGAGGACTTCTGGCGGTGCGGACGGCCCTTTCCTCACGATCTCCGGCGAAGCTTACGATTTCTTGGCGCTTACGATGGCACAACGGCCGCGCAGCGAGGTGGCGGAGCTCTGTAGGATCGGATGCACGCGGTGTGGCGAGAGACGAGAGGCTGCCGCCGCCGCGCGCGGATCCGGAGAGGAGTGGTGGACCGGGTTATGCAGCGAGCCCTTCGAGGGTGACGCGACGCGGCGGGTGAGGTGAGCAGGGTCACCGCGGTGATGGCGGTGTGGGGCGAGGATGATTGTGGTGCAACTGTGGTGATTGCAGGGCGGTCATGTGGAGGGATGGCGAGGCTTTGCCTCTTTCAACAGATCATAAGGTATGCATACATCTTCAAGCTATTTACATTTTGTTTATAGAATCTGATGCTATTAGAATATTGGTAAGAAATTTATTCTTAATTGATTATTGTATATGCTGATTTGGTACCCTTCCTAGAACCTAATATAGTGTTATCATAAGTATCAATTGCTACTTGGAGATTCATTGTCCAGGAGAAGAAAATGTTTGAATGAAAGTAGAAATCTAGTTGACTTGCTTCCATAGGAAATTTCTAACATGCAAATATGACAATTACATAATGGGCAATAAAAGTTTATTAGTTTTCTTTTTTTTAAAAATTAGGGATAAAGCGACAAGTAAAAACAAACCAAGATCTATAAGTTTGTTGTTTTTTACAAAATGGCATTATCCAATCGACTAAGGAATGTTGATTACGTCGTGTTGGTGATAGTAGATTGTACTTTTTTACGAGAAGGCGGCTTTCAATAGAATGATGCAGGTTGATTACGTGGTGTTGGTAATAGTAGATTGTCGTTTTTCTAAAAGAAAGACATCTAATCAGCCGATGTATAATGAGCACGTGTCGCAAGGACGGTGATAGCACATTGTCGCGTTTTAAAAAAAGGTGACTTCCAATTGACTAATGAATGATGAGTACGTGTCACGGGAATGGTGATACTAGATTGTCGTTTTTTAAAAAAAGGGTAACATCCAATCGATTGATGAATCCGTGTCATAGAGATGGTGACAGTAGATTGTCGTTTATTAAGAAAAGGCTGCATCCAATCAACAAATGAATGATGAGTATGTGTCACGAGGATTGGTGATAGTATATTATTGTTTTTTATGGAAAATGCGACATCCAATTGACTGATGAATGATGAGTACTATTAATGGTAATGATCACACAGTCAATAAAAATGGTTGGATGAGGTTGATGAGGGGCCGCTCCCTTCCCCGAATATCCGGTTCTGAGTTGAGGGCTTGAAGCCTACACAAATAACAATTCGTGAGAGGACGGGGCTTGGTTCCTCCGACGATCAAGTCAGCTGGTGAACTTGAACAGGGAAACGAAGAACTGTGTGAGTTCTTAATCTGATGCTATTAGAATATTGGTAAGAAATATATTCTTAATTGATATTTGTATATGCTGATTTGGTACCCTTCCTAGAACCTAATATAGTGTTATCATAAGTATCAATTGCTACTTGGAGATTCATTGTTCAGGAGAAGAAAATGTTTGAATGAAAGTAGAAATCTAGCTGACTTGCTTCCATAGGAAATTTCTAACATGCAAATATGACAATTACATAATGGGTAATAAAAGTTTATTATTTTTATTTTTTTAAAAATTAGGGATAAAGTGACAAGTAAAAACAAACCAAGATCTATAAGATTGTCGTTTTTTACAAAATGGCATTATCCAATCGACTAAGGAATGTTGATTACGTTGTGTTGGTGATAGTAGATTGTACTTTTTTACGAGAAGGCGGCTTTCAATAGAAAGATGCAGGTTGATTACGCGGTGTTGGTAATAGTAGATTGTCGTTTTTCTAAAAGAAAAGGCGACATCTAATCAGCCGATGTATAATGAGCACGTGTCGCGAGGACAGTTATAGTAGATTGCCGCGTTTTAAGAAAAGGTGACTTCCAATTGACTAATGAATGATGAGTACGTGTCACGAGAATGGTGATAGTAGATTGTCGTTTAATAAAAAAGGTAACATCCAATCAATTGATGAACCCGTGTCACAGAGATGGTGACAGTAGATTGTCATTTATTAAGAAAAGGCGGCATCTAATCAACAGATGAATGATGAGTATGTGTCACGAGGATTGGTGATAGTAGATTATTGTTTTTTATGGAAAAGGCGACATCCAATTGACCGATGAATGATGAGTACTATTAATGGTAATGATCACACAGTCAATAAAAATGTTTGGATGAGGTTGATGAGGGGCCGCTCTCTTCCCCGAATATCCGGTTCTGAGTTGAGGGCCTGAAGCCTGCACAAATAACAATTCGTGAGAGAACGGGGCTTGGTTCCTCTGTGGTTCCTCCGACAATCAAGTCAGCTGGTGAACTTGAACGGGAAACGAAGAACTATGTGAGTTCTTTTGTGTGCAGTATGATTTGCAGATAGTGTTTTAAAGATCAGATTTAGAAGTCAGAATATGGAAGAAGTTCTATGTTAGAATAATACCTCTATTTATAGTGATGGTATAATGGTATAATGACCAAAAAAACATTTCGGCCAAGTACATGATGGCAGTGAAGAAATGTGAGCTGACGACTGCATCAACACTACTTTACAGGTGTCGGTTGGCGACTGGAGGTGAAATCATTTTCATATTAAATGAGAACCGATTGGAGACATGACAGTGCTGATGTGATCCGATAAGTCATGAAGACTATCGGGGCTAGAGGCATGATGACGCTTATCAAATATTAAATGCGATGTTGACATGTTATCAGTGGGATAGGCTCGAGACTGAAGTCGTCCTTTGGCTTAGCCGAGAAGTAATGTCTCTCGAGTCGACCCCGCAATGATGTCGAATAGTTGGTCGAGTGAGCTCGTAGCGAGTCGCCTTCGACAAGAGGACCGACAAGTTCCGCCATTTGAGTCGACATAAGGGATTGTCGACTTGGTGAGTCGACTAAGTTGGAATCCGTACTAATCTTGGTCGCCAATTTGGATTGGGGCATGTATGTAGAAGTACACATGTCCATTGCTAGCAAATGGCTGTACTTTAGCAATTGGAAGCACCATAACAGTTGGCCCCTTTCATTTAGAGTCGGCTTGGGCTGGGTCCGAGTGAAATGAGAACAACTTTGTTAGCTTGTAGCTGTGTTCTGATTGAGAAAACAAATGTTGATTGTTATGAGTCGGTCGTGTTAGGACGACCCGAGTGCTGAGGGGTCGAGACGACTGGTTCATTTTACGTCTTTTGTTGGCAGAAAGTCCGGGTCTTTTTGTCGATAAAGACCTGCAAGTTGAAGTACTTAGGTCTTTTTACCGAAGACGACCGAACGATTGAACTCCATGCCTGAGTTTACTCATGATGACACCAAGGTCTTAGGGCATGTGCTTTGGACTTAATGAGGGCACCAAGATCTTTTTGGTAGAGTGACAACCCGAAGGTTGGGTGCCCAGGACTTATGTAGACGCCTGAGTCTTTTGATAAATTGACAACCCTGAGGTTAGGTGCTCAAGACTTACGTAGACACCTGAGTTTTTTGGCAAAGTGACAACCCTAAGGTTAGGTGCTCAGGACATACGTAGACGCCTGGATCTTTTGGCCCTGCTGAGGGCCATCCTGATAGCAAAACAGTAAAATGATAACCCAGAAGTTGGGTGCCCAGGACTCACGTAGACGCCTGGGTCTTCTGGTCCTGTTGTGTCGGTCGAGTAGTAATGTGGGAGTCGACCGATAGGCAAATGTGCCTTGGGTTTACCCTAAAAAGACACTAAGATCTTATGATTCTTGCATAGATTTAGCACTACGAGAGTGCGAAATAAGAATCGGTGTCGGAAAGACTTCATTTATAATGAATAAAATTTTTGTACAATATTATTGAAAGTTGATCATGTTGATGACTCCCTTATGATTGGGCTCTGGGAGTCGACTATCCTAATGCAATCGAGGAGGTGGCGACCGCTAGCTGGATCTCCTATCTGCCTTGGCTGGGGTGATTGCTGTTGCTGCTGAGGTCATGACCATGGAGGTCTTTGTGGCCCTGGCTGATGCCTTGTAAGCTCGGTCATCCTTCATGTTCATGTACCCATCAACTTTGACCATCAACTGCTCGTAATTGGCGACTGACTTTTTGGCAAGTGAGCCGACCAATTTATTGCTTTGCAAGCCGGCCACAAGGGCGGACATAGCAACGACACTCCCTGGCCCTGGGTCATTGACCTCTAGCCTCTTCGCCTGGAACCTCTTGAAGTAGGCTCGAAGGCTCTCTCCAGGCTCCTGCCTCATCTGGATTAGCACATGAGGGGGGGGGGGGT